GAGGTGGAGGAGGACGAGGAAGACGAGGAGGAGGAGGATGAGGAGGACGAGGAAGACGGAGGAGGAGGAGGAGGAGAGAGGCGGAGGAGGACGACGAGGGAGGAGGAGGAGGAGGAGGAGGTGGAGGAGTCGGAGGAGGAGGAGGAGGTGGAGGAGGAGGAGAGAGGGATTAGGATGAGGTCGGGAGCAATAGTAGGATGCTGATGACGAGGAAGAGCAGGATACGGATGATGATGACACTGAAGATGATGAAGATGATGCTGATGATAATGATGATGATGCTGATGCTGATGATGATGATGATGCTGATGCTGATGCTGATGCTGGTGATGGTGATGGTGGTGATAATGATGATGCTGATGATGATTATGATGCTGATGGTGGTGATCATGATGGTGATAATGATGGTGATGCTGTTGATGATGATGAGGAGGAGGAGGAGAAGGAGGAGGAGGAGGAGGAGGAGAAGCCAGAAGAGGAGGAGCAGGGGGGGACGAGGAGGAGGATGATAAGGAGGAGAAGGGGGGGAGGGAGGAGGAGGGGAGGAGGAGGAGAGGGAGGAAGAGGCGGAGGAAGAGGAGGAGGAAGAGGAAGAAGAGGGGGAGGAGGAGGAGGAGGAGAAGGAGGAGGAGGAGGAGGTGGAGCAGGAAGAGGAGGAGGAGGAGGAGAAAGAGGAAGAGGAGGAGGAGTTGGGGGAGGACAAGGAGGGGGAGGAGGTGTAATATGATGAGGAGGGGAAGGGGGAGGGGGAGGAAGAGGAGGAGGAGGAGGAGGAGGAGGAGGTGAGCACGAGCAGTATGATGATGATGCGGATGATGCTGATGATGGTGATGCTGATGTTGCTGCTGATGCTGATGATGATGATGAGGACGATGCTGCTGCTGCTGCTGCTGCTGCGGCTGCTCATGATGATGATGATGATGATGATGATGATGATGATGATGATGATGATGATAATGCTGATGATGCTGATGATGACGATGCTGATGCTGATGCTGATGCGGATGCTGATACTGGTGACAGGGATGCTGCGAATGGAGATGCTGATGATGATGATGATGATGATGATGATGATCATCACGATAATGCTGGTGATGCCGATGCTGCTTATGATGCTGATGATGATGCTGCTGATGATGGTGCTGATGATGATGGTGATGATGCTGACGATGATGCTGACGCCCACGCTGATAATGATGATGATGCTGATCATGATGATGCTGACGATCATGATGATGACGATAATGCTGGTGATATGACGATGCTGATGATGGTGATAAGGCTGATGCTCGTGATGCTGATGATGATGATGATGATGATGCTGCTGAGGATGATGATGATGATGCTGATGGTGATTATGATGATGGTGATGCTGCTGCTGATGCTGATGCTGATGATAATGCTGACGATGCTGATGGTGAGGTGATGGTGATGATGTGGTTGTTGGTGACGATGATGATGATGATGATGATGACGATGATGATGATGATGATGATGATGATGATGACGATGATGATGATGATGATGATGGTGATGCTGATGATGATGCTGATGATGATGCTGCTGATGATGATGCTGATGATGATGATGAGGAGGAGGAGCAGGAGGAGGAGGAGGAGGAGGAGGCGGAGGAGGAGGATGAGGAGGAGGAGGAGGAGCAGGAGGAGGAGGCGGAGGAGGCGGAGGAGGCGGGAGGAGGTGGAGAGGGGGGGGGGGGAGGAGGCCAGGGAGGGAGGGAGGGAGGGAGGAGGAGGATGAGGTTGATTGACGATGACGGAATTATGATGATGATGATGATGATGCTGATGATGCTATGCGGCATGCTGATGTTTGGATTGTTGATGCTGATTGCTGCTGATGCTGATGCTGATGATTGATGATGATGATGATGATGATGGTGATGATGACGAGGATGGATGCTGATGATGATGATGATGATGCTGGGTGGTGATGAAATGCTGATGATGATGATGATGATGATGATTACGATGGCGATGCTGATGATGATGCTGCTGGCGATGATGATGGTGATGCTGATGATGAGGATGATGAGGATGATGCTGATGACGGTGACGAGGAGGAGGAGGAGGAGGGAGATGATGAGGCGGATACAGAGGAGGAGGAAGACGCGGAGGAGGAGGAGGATGAGGAGGAAGAGGAGGAGGAGGACGAGGGGGAGGAGGAGGATCGGGGGGGGTGGAGGAGGAGGAGGAGGAAGAGCAGGAAGAGGAGGAGGCGGATGGTGATGACGCTGATGCTGATGATGATGATGCTGATGATTATGATGAGGATGATGATGATGATGGTGGTGGTGGTGATGATGATGATGATGATGAAGATGATGATGATGATGGTGATTGTTATGATGGTGATGATGCTGATGATGATGATGCTGATGCTGACGATGATAATGCTGATGATGATGATGATGATGATGCTGATGACGATAATATTGATGGTGGTGATGGTGATGATGATGATGCTGATGATGATGATGGTGATGATGATGATGATGATGCTGATGATGCTGCTGATGCTGATGATGAGGAGGAGAAGGTCGAGGAGGAGGAGGGGGAGAATGAGGAGGCGGAGGCGGACGAGGAGGAGGAGGAGGCGGGGG